AGACAGGAAGGAATGGGAATTTAGAATAGAATGCAGGAAACTGAAATGGATTCAAGTTTGGCTCTTGATGCCAGTGTCAACTCATCTTTCCTCTGCCTCACTGGTCAGCTTTGCAATCATACCACTCCCAGAGCTTCAAGGATCCTTTCATGTCAACCCCCACCACCTTTTTACTCCTTTCCCAGATGAGTCCTACACCTACATTCCCAGCCATCCACCCAACACCCACAATGACATCTGCCAAGTTACTGGATATCCCCTTGGAGGGAGCTCTTCCCATCTTCATTAATCCCACAAATCTCATTAAATACAGACTATCTTCAAAATTTAAGAATATTCATTTGATAAATATTTACTGAGTGTTTCCTACACATTTATTCCTCTAAGAAGAGTGAAAGATATAGCAGTAAACACAAAAGATTTGCATTACAGTGACAGAAGACAGCATATACGAGCATAAATAAATGCCAGAATATGAAAAGTGCAGTGGAGAAAATAAATCAGATGAGAAAGCAGAGGACAGGGTCCCTCCCAAAGTTCAGGACACCCAAGTTCTCCACCAGGATGACCAGAGTCTACCATGGACACAAAAGGACATCTTGGCATCTGGCTCACTCAAACATCAACCAGGAACTGGGAGAATAGAGTGCCTCAAAGCAACTTGCAACAGAAGCAAAGAGGGTGTGGCTGATTCACACTCACAAGTACCACTCACCATCTCCAAGAGTCCATTTCAGCCACAGAGCCTAGAAACAGGGGATCCCTTGAGCAAGTGTTCCAGACCAGCCTGAGCAAGAGTGAGACATTGTGTCTAAAAAAAAATAGGAAGACTGTCTGGGTGCTATGGCAGGCACCTGTAGCCCTAGACCAGAAGTTTGAAGTTGTGGTGAGCCATGACAGCACTCTACCCACAGCACTCTACCCAGGGTGACATAGTGAGACTGTCTCAGATAAAAAAAAGGGGGGGGGCGGTGAGAGGAAGATGGAAGACAGAGAAGTAGGTAGGGGAAGGATATAGAGAACAAGAAACAACACATGAGGACATACCAACAAAAACCACTGGCAACAGAGTCAGAATAGGTCAATTCCCTCAGTGGATCATAATGTAGCTATTATAAAAGAATTGTGGAAATGACAGAAATGGATTTCAGGGTATGGATGGCAAAAACAATGAAGGGAACTATAGGAAAAGTGGAAAACCAAGAAAAAAGGAAATCCAAAAATTGATCAGAGGAGTAACAAGAAATCACATATGTCGGAAAGTGATCATGTTGGCTACCCTAAGGAGAATGAGCTCCAGGGAAATGGTACGAAAAGAAAAGAGACACCTTATAAAGTTTTTCTGTATAAAAGGGGTCATATTTGAAAGTTGCCATGTTCAGAAAAAGAGGAATTGTGGGACGAGCATGAGCATGAGTGGCATTAAAGATTAAGATTTGGGTTTTGGATATGTTCCAACAAGAGCTTATTGATATACTAATCAAGGGGCAAGTAGAGAGGTGACTGTACCAGTGTAATTTAAGAGAAAGATAAGAGTTGAAAGTAAAACTTATGGCTC